TCAAACTGGTATTTTTGATTACATTTCTCCATGTTTGATGTTAGAATTAATGCTTTCTTTTATCTGACTAGTCAAGGTAGATTTTTTTTTATAAAATTCACTAGTGAAGAACACCTTTCCATGGTTTTGAAAATAATTTTGAACACTTGATGCTGGTCCATCTTGCAGGGTTTTTTAGTTTTAAAATGCACAGGACAATGTTAAATATAGTATAGTAAACTGATACAAAACAAAGTCCAGTGTAGTGGTTCCAGTAGGCCATGCTACTTCTTACATTTTTATTTGATAAAGCTGTTAAAATCTAAAATTACAGCAATTTTTTTTCTTGATTCATATGTTTAAGACTGAGATCACTGCTTTGTGATAGCTCAGAGAAACAGCTTTTGCCTTGGCATTGTACAGGGGCATTTTTTCCATACTGATTACTCAGGCACCATCAGAAAGCTTATATGGAACTAGATCTGACAATCCCAAGTTTATACAAAAGTGGAGCTTTTTATGTGGGAAAACATCTTTTGTTGAATAGGGATGGGCGTATTTTTCACTTTCTGACAACTTTGATGGTCTATGATTATGACTACAGTTTTGTTAAGAAGAATGAGTCAGAAAGGAAAAGCTTCTTAATTGATTTGTTTTGCTGCTTGCAGAACATGGGGTTATATAACATCTCACAAGAGATCGGGCATCAGGAAGAAGGGTGATGAACAATTTTCTGTCTCATATCTCAGTTTTCTTTCTGGTTGGCTGAACAATAGGCGAAGGACATGCTTAGCTTTTTTTCAGTTGTAAAATAGTGTTTAATTTTTTAAAGCTGCATTGCAGGAGAGGAGCTGCACAGTTGGGAAGGAAACATTTACTGACAGTAAGAAACTGAAACAGCCCCTCCCAACCAAGGCTGAAACTTCATATTGGTCATCTGAAGATGAAAGGCTACTAGTTATCTCTGAGCTGTAATCCTATTACTCGGGAGCGGTGGCTCTGCTCTCCCTGCTGTCCAAGGCTGGGAATATGCAACTTCTTGGCCAAGTGCCCAGATAGTAAACCTGCCTTTTAATATTGTGCTCTCAGTCTCCTCACAAAGCTTCTGCCCCTAGATCTTCTATTTAGTTATATGATACTGTGCAAAAATCCAGGATTATTAGGGAGGAGTTACTAATTCCACATAGTTGCAGGTTCTGGTTTTCTGTAGAATGGTTATTCGTCTTTCTTGTGCTGAGACATTTTCATATTTTTACATTTTTGTGGATTAGATGTGCATTGCCATTTTAGTGTGAGGGATTTAGGTTCAGAGAGAAATTAATTTGCGAGTTCTAATTTTAGAGATCATTTATTCTATACAAACCTGTAATCCATCCTGATCAAAGTGTGTTTTTCTGTGCATGGTCTGCTAATGAGACTGTACCATCCATTGCAGGAACCATGCTGTAACATTCTCTCACTCTGTAAGTTAAAAATGTTTGCTGCAGTAACCTTAAATAATAATCCAAATAGAAGTTTTGGTGAAAGGATTGCAGTATTTATGTATAGTTGCATATAGTAGTTAATAATATCCATGTCATATTGTATTAGTCACATCTTGAGGGAATGAGTTATTCCACTTCAGTTTTCATCCATTATGTATGTATCTTTTGGAAAGATCGAATTTTGTTAATGAATCTTTCCCCTCCTTTCTTCCTTGTCTCCACATAACCACTGAAAATGCCAGTTTAGATTTCTTAGCATGGGACTGAAGCTTAAATAGTCTATCATAGAAGCAGAATCAAATGTATTTTAAGCAGAGCATTTGCAATAACTTGAGTTGGTAGTTGAGAGCTTAAATACAGGAGGAAACTGCAGCTACTTAGAGGATCTGCCCTTCCAAAATATGTCCTGTGACATGAATGGCAGGTTGACTTTAAATGGTGGTGTAGCCAAATGCAAAATGAGAATATGCAAATCAAGGCTGCATCTACACAATCATTTTTGCTCCTGCTCTGACCTTTGGAGAATGTTTTGTGGCAGAAGAAAGACTTGAGCCTAAGTATAGAAAAAACAAACATGCCCACACAAAGCTGTAAATGCTTTTTGTTCCTCTTAATCCAAAGAGGTTTTTTTTCCCCATAGTACAGTGAGTCATAAATCTTATGCATGATCAGTAAAATCCTTTCCTACACAGTTCAAAAGAACGTATTTCTTACGTGCTTCTTGCAGCAAGTCACATAGATGAGTATTTATTACTGAGTGCATTGTGGGGTGGAGATGAATATTGTCTTATTCAAGAAGAACTTTAAAGTAGATAATTTCTTTTCAGATGTAATGTTTTATCAGTCCTCAGAAATACCCAGTGGAAATATGCTGCTTCTTAAGCTTTTTCCTTTTAAAAACAGGAAAAAAGTCTGGATATAGACCTACAGAATTTTACTATCTTAAGTCAGAACAAAGGCAACCATTTGTTTTGTTTATAGTTGTTGAGATGCTCATAAAGATAATCATATTGTCTCTTATAACTTCTGTTTTGTAATGAGGTGTTTTAATAGAGCTACCGCAAGGAGGAAATGATAGAAACTTATTCAAAGCAGATTTTTAGTTACTTCAAGTGAAAGGATCTGGGAAAAATCAAAATACAAAGTGTTGAGTCAATAGAAAAAAGCAATAGGTGCTGTAAATGCAGCGAACTCCCGAGGGTGTAATCATGGAGGTGAACTTATCAACACCTGTCTCACTCAGAGGTGGAACAGAATCAGAAAGCAGTAACATCTCTTATTGATACCCGAGGTAGATAGTTCTATTTAAGCAAAATATTGTTACCATTCTATAGTTTGCAAGCAGATTTGTGTAAAAATGATTTTTGGATTTTTTTTATTTTAAATACACTTCTTTAAGGTACAGTGAAGAGTGTCCATGCATGTTTCAAAAAAGTACATTTACAGTTAAAATTTGAATTCTTTAGAAAGGTGCTTTAAAGCCCATTTTTCTGCACAGGTAAAACCAGCAAGTCTGTTTCTGTTTTGATCAGACATCTGTTTCACTTTTCATGTTTAATTTAGAGTGCAGCTCTAGAATAGGAAGGTTGGTCTTTGATTCTTGCTGTAAAGCATGAAACCAAAACAAATGATGTTTGTGTTACTAAGCAGACCTTTTCCTTTTTATTATTAGAACGCGTGTTGGAAAATTTCTCCGTAGTTTGTTTTCAAGTAATGTTACACAGATTCCTTATCTTTGTTGTTAAACATGGGAGGGCAAATATTGAGGTTGGGAAGATTGGTTGTTTTTTGTTTTGGAAAGAATATTGAGATAAGAAGAAATGTTACAGAAAACCTTTACCCTCAACATGAGATGGATCGGCTGGGACTGTGCTTAAAAGTGTGTTTTGCTGTTACTGCTATTTTACTGAATATTATTATAAATGTTTATCTTTAAATATTTTATTATCTTTTGCCACATTGAGAGAATTATTTATAACTGTGAAAGTAATAATATTTAGACTTTGGAAATCATTCTTAATGATTCTCACTTGCTGTCTGATAGCAACTTTTTTCTGGTACTGGTATGAAGAGATTGGGTAACAAAACTCAGGTTTCGGGATTCTCGCTGTGTTCTGTCCTGGGATGATCTCAAGTGGGTTTGGGCCCCGTGCATCAGCTGTACCAGCAGAGACAGGATGAACCACCTTGTGATACTTCACATCAGGAGTTGGAATTGCCCCTGCAGGTCCTTGTCTTCTGCTGCTTTGGAGAGAGCCTGTGTCCCTCCTTGCCATTTAATTTCATTTGAATGTCAAAAACTCAGTGGAGTAAACATAAGCCTTTGCTTCATGGCCTTTACTGTGTAGACTTCAGTCCTACACTTGTTCGATTCAGAGGCAAAAGATAAGATAACCACTGGAAATGCCCTGACAAAGTAGTGTTTTTATGATGGCTTGAGAAAAATATACCTTCTTATTTTACTGCAACTTGGAATTTAGTGTTTTTTCAAGCATAACTTGCAAGAGGATTATTAGAGACTGTATATAATTTTGTGTTTTCGTATATGTATGCACATGTATATAGGCTGTGTGTTTAGTATTTGCTTTACCTCCCTCATATTAAAAAAAATCTTGCCTTGCCTAGTTTTGCTGCATTAGTTTTCAGCAATATTCTTTGAATAAGTGGTATTTGCAGTTACTGGTTTCTGAAGTGTTTTACTATTTCAATAAGTCACCCTAACTGATTGTCATTTCTTATGTTTTAAAAAAAAGCCAAAGAATATTTAAATCCCTAGCAGAAATGTTTGGGGGTTTCTTTCCCATGGTTTGGTTTTCCCTTTCCTTGTTTTACTGGTTCTGTAGTTGACCGTATCACTGCAGGAATTCCAGCTCGCTCGTCTTAGGGTGAGAAGTAATAAAGTAGAGGTTGGCAGCATTTCCAGCATTCCACTTTCCACGAGCCCCATCTGTGGGAGTCCTCCCAGACTTCTGAAGCAAAGAGAGCAAAAAACACAGACAAACTAATGATGGCTTGGCAGCTCTTTAACCTGGGGGCTTGCGTACCAGCCCCTGGCTGAAGAGGAGCAACCTGCTGGTTCCTGGTCGAGGATCAGGTTCTCTGTGTGGCTTTGGGAACAGCGGTGCTGCCACAAGGTGGGGACTGTCAGAAGGTGGAGGCTACTTCATACTCCTTGCCAAATGTTAACAGATGGTGTTTTGGGGAGCAGCACGAAACTTCATCTGAGAACCAAGCTGTAGTGACCCTAAAGCTATTGACTGTATGATGGTTTAAAGAGTGTGACAAGAATTAAGTATTTTTACATTCTTGTCTTTCATTCTTTCTCAACCCTAGGAAAAGTTATTAAGCCCTTTTTCTGCTAGATTTTATCTGCTCTTTAATATGCAGATGTTCTCTTTTTGTAGAGAAGGAAGCTAGAGGCAGGAAAACAGCACAGAACTGTCAGGAGAGGGTTGGTTTGTTTGTGGGGGTTTTTGCTGGTGCCAGTTATCTGGTGAAATTCATGTATATATGTTTGCTGTGCCTTTTCTTTTACAGGCTCAGAACAAAGAAACAAAAGTTCTGGCTGCTGCAAAGGTGATAGATACTAAATCAGAAGAAGAACTTGAAGATTACATGGTGGAGATTGATATTTTAGCATCCTGTGATCATCCTAATATTGTCAAGCTCCTAGATGCTTTCTACTATGAAAACAATCTGTGGGTAGGTATTTTTCCTTCTCTAAGTGTTTTTTACTTATTTCAAAAGGTTATTGAAATTACAGTTTTTTCTTTATTAATAATCATTTGTCAATCACATTTTGTCTGGCTTGTCAATGTTGGGATAACTACTCGGTTTCAAAACTAATTTTTAAATTGTGAGTATGACTTAGGAAATAGTCACTGTAAAATTGTGCTACACTGAGTCATTTGGTCAGGGGTTTGAATCTAAAATGTGGCAATTAGCAGATCATTTTGGTGTATTGAGAGAGTTCTTAATTAGTGCTTATTTGTAGCAGCAGGACTCAGATTTTAATTACATTAGTACAATTTAGAGTGAGATTCAGAATCCACACCTGAAAAATAAATAATGTGCTGAAAAGGTCAGCCTGTGAAGTATGTATTTTAGATATGAGTGAATCTGTTGGCACTTCCAGGAAGGACAATTTACCAGTACTTGAACCATAATTAATTTACTTAAACCTGAGGTTTAAACCTTGATGTGTGGTGAGCATACATATGACTACACATCACTCCTCTGCTGTATCCTGTGTGTTCACTGGAATAGCTTTAGCTGTAACAATACAGTTTTTTCTTCTAGGTGATCCAATGCAATATTTATAAGTGCTTTTGGAATTGTACAAAGAATACATGTGTGGGTTTTTTTTAAAGTTTATACTTAAAAAAGATACCTAAAACAAATAAAAGAAAATTTTCTTTGGAGTCTTACGAATAAGCTTTATCCTTTAGCTATGAAAATGATGGACGTGTAATACAGTATTTCCTCATTTACATTTATTTTGCTAAGCTTAAAACTTTGTCATCTAAATGCAGACTAAAAGGATTTTGTATAAAACAGTGGAATAGTGAAAAAAAATCCTATAAAAAAGTTCAGTATGAAAGCGAGGATGCATAGAGGCAGAATATGAAACTGAGTGGATAGGCTTTGCTGGCAGAATGAAGGTAGAGGAGTAAATAGTTTGAAAAAGTTGTGGCTACATGGTTACAGTGTAATGCAGGGGTATGAAAGCAACAAAGAGAAAGCTTAATGATGTGGTAAGTAAACAGAATTTAGTGGAGGGGAAAACAGAGAAGAATGATAGTTGGAGGTAAAATAATGCACTGTTGCTTTATGGACTTGGAAACATGACTTCTTTATCAAAGAGACCTTTGTCAGCTCAAACAGCAAATTTAGAAAATAAATTCCTTATTTACAATTTCCCACACTTAACTTGCTTGGCATGTAGAAGCATGTAAATGGAATAATGTTTAAAGGCCTTAAAGAGAGTTGCATTTTAAAATAAATTTGTTGGTGTCATTGTTGTGGGGATTAATTGCCGTAGTAATTTGAAGTAATATGTGCCGTAAGTGGTGTATCTATAAGTTTTATGCTATAAAGTATAGTTTGAGATTTCCTCTTTTATGGGCAACAATACTCTGATTTTAAAATTACTCTAAAGAAAAAGAATAAGATATTATTTCCCAGAATATTGACTGTCTGACAAGAAATACTTGTTATCTGTCAGGCTGAAAATTACAATTTAATATTTAAAGTTCAAATCAAAGACAAAACACATATAGAAGAGTAGAGTATCAATCTTGAATGACCTTTCCTCTTTCTTGCTCTCCTCATTCCCTTTGTCTACCTTCTCTTTGCTTTGTGTATGTACTTTCTGTCCTTTGTGTCAGCATAGTTTGTATTCCAAAAGAGTTGCAGTTTATTTTTGTTTCAAATGCAGCTCAGAACTGGAGATGGCCTTGTTCTAGTATATTCTGGGATAAAAGCCTTGATGTATTGTAGGCATGAATGAAAATGAAGGAAAATTAATGTAAACATCTGAATTTAGTAATTTTCTTTAGCTTTTAAGAGTATTTTTCTGTATTTTCATCTTGTCTGAAACAATATAGGAGATAGCATCTGCTAATGGAAAATCATTTAGCTCTTGGACTTTTCAGTCAGGGAGATTATAGTATAGAAGTAGAGCTTAATAATCAAAAAATGAGTTTGCAAGGATTATGTAAATCACATTACAAGGAGTAGGTTTAAGCTGACTGTTTCATTATGTTTTGTTATGCTGGTTTATATTTGGATTAAAACTTTTGTCTGAGGATCTCCAAGTATTTTTCAAATAATTTGCTTGAGCATCACAGCCCTACTTTTAGCTGGGTAACAATACCAATATTTTGCAGGTTAGTAAAGTAATTTGTAGAGGCAAAATAGTCTGAAACTCTGATCTCTCAGTAATGCTCCCTTAATTGATGATTCAGTTCAGTGTAACTGTTTAATTTCTAATTCCTGTATTTTATTTGTTTAAATACAGATCCTGATCGAATTTTGTGCAGGAGGAGCTGTAGATGCAGTCATGCTGGGTAAATAAATTGTTTCAAATAATAAACTTAACACCTTACAATGATAATACATATTGTAAGACTAATTTCGTATGAGTGTTGTTTTGATATGCAAATATTTCTGTAATTGGTGTGCTCTATGTGTTGAACGTGTGGGTATTTACACCTATATCTATGGACATTGTAATTTCTTAAGTTAGATTTATTTTCTCTCATTTTTAAAGTGTTTGTTTACTTTCTAACAACATTTTTGTTTCAATCCTTTGAGTAAATGTGAAGAGTTGTTTTCAAATGCTTATGAAGCTTCTGTTGTTGTAACATAGTCTGTATGAGCCCTTTTCAGGACCTCATTTTTCCTCTTCCACTGCCACCTTCCAGGTTAGGTTGAAATAATTCTTTATATTGCATCTACCTTCAAGTTAGATTTTTTTCTATGCTTATTCCTCAAATTAGGTGAATACTAATACCATTTAAGTAAAGGATCTGGTCTTTATCATCTCTGTGTACCACACAGAAGAATCAATCTCTAAACTATAGAGTTTTTTCTCAGTTCAGAGAGGTGGGTATGCATAATTGATAATGGAGAGGCATTTGGGTTCAAGGCATGAAATTTTTTCTGAAAGGAGAGAGTATTATAAGATAGAATTTTTTTCTGACATGTGATGTTTAGAATCTGTCAGATAAATTAATTTTCACATATATTACTATGCTGATTGCTATGAACACATAACGTAAAATGCAGAAATGTTGTGATTATTTCTGTCTCTGTCTTGTAGAGCTTGAAAGGCCATTAACAGAGCCCCAGATCAAAGTGGTGTGCAGGCAGACACTGGAAGCACTGAACTACTTGCATGAAAATAAGATCATCCACAGAGATCTAAAGGCTGGCAATATTCTTTTCACATTAGATGGAGACATTAAACTAGGTAAGAATGTTGCATATAAAAGACTTTCCCAGAACTTGGCATGGTCTTTTAATTGTGTTTTCCTCAGGCTGCAGTTTGTCAGAGTTCATTATTTACCTACTGAAATACCAGTCTAGCAATGAGGGGTTTTTCAAAAGCAAGTGGTTTGCTACTATCAAGAAAAGAAAAAGCTTGAGCAAATATCCTGACGATACTTGGCACATCTTTCACACTCCAAAATCAGCAGGGGTAGGAGTCGTGTCAGTATCTGCACCAAGTTGCCTACAGTCAGACACAACTCCTACTGTTTCTTAGTATAACATTCTTACTTACAGTTGCCTTTACTATGGTAACATCAGAACTTCCCTTTGAAGTCGTTAGTTTGGAAAATGAGCATTCTTTACTATCGCCAAAAACCAGTACCTAGTACTGTTGTCTCTTCCTTTATTGGAGAGGAGTCATTATCTTAATTACTCATCTTAGTGTTTCTGTGTCTTGGTCAATTGTTTCTTACACTGAAATTACGACAGAACAGTCTGGAGGAAGATTAATACGAGTTTACTATTGTTGATTCCTGTTTTTTAATCTGAATTTAAGCAGTCATCCACATTTTCACTCTGATTTGATAGGGAATCCGTGAGGATTCCTCCATACAGAACTGACAAAGGACTACTGGTGGTGAATAGCATCCCTTCATTCAGCCAGGAAAGGAGAGGAATTATCTGGATCCACTTTGTTTCAGGGATAAATGTGTATAAGCTGTCAGCCTTTACAGTGGCTCTACCCATGGCATAGTTCCATGACACTGCAGCTCACACTCAGGTTTCAGAACCTTCTCTCTGCATGGTGTGTGTGATTAGTTGTATTTCTTTGGAAGCCTGTTACACAGAGGGTAAAGCTAAGGGGAATCAGAATATTAGCACAGTGAACTGGGGCTCTGAACTCCCAGCCTTGCTACGGACAATCCTTGTAAATGTAAACAAGGAATGTCCAAATTCAGAAATATGTCTACTGCCTAATTCGTACTGATGGCAGAGTCTCAGCAAGGTTCAGTGCATCATCTCTGTTAAGAACTTGAGAATGTTTAAGAACTTGCTTTGTTATATTGATCAGTTTAGTGTGTCTGTGCTTTTTGCATGAATCCCCTTGCTCAAGACTGTTGCTTGTACGTATATTCCTTGCATCTGGCTTTCTTTTAATCTGCAAAGTACATGTAACTATTGCTTTAGCTTTTCTACAAACCCTGAAGATTTAGTGATGGACTGGGGGTCATAGGCCTTATTTTTAAATGTAATAGAACTGCTATCTGAGATTCTTAGTACTGCTGTAAAAGAAACCACAGATCATAGCAGGAGTCTCATGGTCAGAGAAAGTCATTTGTTTCTGTTCATTTCCTCACGTGACCTGGCTTCTCCTCACACAGGCTTGGAACTATTTTAAGATTTTGTCAAGCCTAGCTGATACACAGCACCTTGCAGGCTGTCAAGATACTACTTAACAGTTCAGACCACAGGGAGATTTCTGCCACACTTACATTTAGTGATACATTCAGGTTTGCAAAGATTTGCTTTAGTTTTGAGAAGTGTACAGCATCATTTGAAGGAGCATTTTTACTGCTTTTAAATTATTTGTATTTTGATTCTACTATACACAGAAATGGGTAATTCCTTGTTTTACAGATACGTAAATGACAAATTTCCTTCATTGCATTTTATTTGTATAAGGATTCAAGTTTTGTCATTTCAGTATCTCTAGTCCCTCAAGATTTCAGATTTTGCATTTGAACCATTGCAAAAGTCCTTATTTTTTTTTTTTTGCAGAACAAAATTAGACTTCTCAAGTGTTGAACCCATCAAACAATTTTGTACAGGTTAAAGATGGCAACATATGGCTATTTTTGTCCCTTTGCTCTAATCTCTAGATCTTCATTAACAAAATTACATCTATAATAAGCATACGACAGATATTCAGATTATTTTTTTTTTAAGTGAGAAATGTAGTGCTTTGTAGACAAGTAATTGCAAAGATAAAGTTGAGTTTTGGTTGGATATTACATCAAAGGTGGATATGTAAGCTTTCCGTTATTCGATGTAAAGTGAAAATCATATGAAAAGAAACCTTTAAGATAAAGGAAAAATGTTCCTTCATGAGAATTTGAGTCCTGAAATTAAAAATTAAATGAGTTGTTGAATTAATGAGAGAATTAATGTCATGAATACCGACTTCATAGGCTAAAGGAACTAGTTTCTAATTAAAATAATTTAAATCAGCTATTCCTGTAGTAAATACATATATTGTTCTTGTCCCACACAGCCCAACAGTAGCTTTACTTTCTGGAGTATAAGTTTTAATCAAGGTCCTGTACTAGAAATGCTCTAAAACCTTGGCACTTTGCTATCAAAGCACAATATTTTTATTTCACTTTAAAGTTTTAATACTGCACAATGTTTGCTCTGGAACATATAACATTTAAAAGACAATTGTAAAATAAAAAATGTAATATGTTTTCCACCACTCCATTAATAGTATTTTGCTGTTTGCTTTAAGCGGATTTTGGAGTATCAGCTAAAAACACAAGAACAATACAAAGAAGAGACTCTTTTATTGGTACACCATATTGGTGAGTGCACTGTTTTGCTGACTTTTAGTAAAAACTAATAACTTAATATTACCTTTAATTTTATTATTACAAGCTTGGTAAATATTGTGTAAATATATTAAATGAGGGTAGAATGTGCTTCTTAAAATGCTTCAGTGACTGTATGTATTTAGAATGTTCTCAGAACGGATCAGAATGCATTTTCTAATCCAATACTTCATTATTCTCTTTGCAGGATGGCTCCAGAAGTAGTAATGTGTGAGACCTCTAAAGACAGGCCTTATGATTATAAAGCTGACATTTGGTCTCTTGGCATTACTTTAATAGAAATGGCTCAAATAGAGCCACCTCATCATGAATTAAATCCCATGCGAGTGCTTCTGAAAATTGCAAAATCTGATCCTCCCATGTTAGCACAGCCTTCAAAATGGTTAGTATTTCATTTACAACATTCCTAGTTTGTAGGTTTTGACTACAAGGCATGCCAAGTCATCTGTTTGCTAAACTTCATATTCGTGAGCATAGCCTTGTTGAACTTTGTGGTCTGGTTTTATATTCTGTGTATGTTTGTACATGTGTACACACACATATAATCTGCTCACACAATTGGAACTATGGTCTTTTTGCCATAGTTCTGTATAGAAGCTTTTATACAGAAGTACTATGCAGATTTTGCATTAAAATGTATGTGAAATAGCTTTTTACAAATGCAGTAACAGATCTGAAGACCATCTGAAAAAAGATTGTGTAAAAGCAGACTAAAGCATTTTTATACTAAGAAAATATTTTAAAAGGCATTATCTAGTTGGTCAATTTAATATCTTTATGTGGTTCAGTTAGTGGTGTAGTAGATGTGATGTATTGAAATGCAAAACAAAAAATGAACTCTTCTATTAATGGGCAAACAGTTTAAAGGTTGTATTTGTGTCACGTTGGTCTTGGCATTCCTGTACTCTTCGTTTTTCCCTGAATCAGTAGAAGAACCTGGAGTTGCAGTGTAGATTCATGGGAAAGTAAAAGAATATTTCAGTATATGTTAGTCTGAATAGACAGAAGAACAACCACTACCTGTTTGCTTTTCTTGTAGGTCGTCAGATTTTAAAGATTTTCTGAAGAAATGTTTGGAAAAGAATGTAGATGCAAGGTGGAGTGCAACTCAACTGTTACAGGTAGGAGGAGTTAATTGTTCAGAACTGTTGTTTAAAGGCAAGCATATTTCATACTTTTTGAAAGCAGAGCAGTATTATAGTAATTATTTAAATTATTTCAAATCGAGTGTTCATACACAACCTACTTTTAAAATTGATGCATTGATCCTTCTTTGATAAAATTTGGTTAAATGATACCAAGTGCAGATCAGATTATTTGTTTAACATATTTTGATGTGATATAACTAATTACTTTGTGTAAGTAATTATACTTTGGTAGCTATAATGGATGAAGGCAATATTTACGTGCGTAGTCATTTGCTGACAGGTGTTCTAAAAGCTTTAGCACTCAGCCCTGCCTGTAATGCTGTCACTGCAGAACAGCTGAACAGGAATAGATGTGACCAGGTACATTTGATTCTGTTTAACGTCAGCACCCATTTACCTCATCCACAATCCATCTGGCATATGTTGAGTAGATTTAAGCAGCAGGGCCAAACAGAGAAAGGAGATTCAGACAGTAGGAGAACAGGTACCTGTTTGCTCTTGAAGAAAAAAAATAGAATTCCAGTTTGTTTTAGGAAAAATTGTTCTAGGGACGAAGCACGTTTTTTTCTAGAAAGAGTCATCCTAGATAAAGCTTATCAGGAAATAATTTAACTGTGGAACTGAAATGAAAGTTGTTTCCAAGAAAAATAATCTTTTTAAAAATATTTCTACTTCTATTCTTTGGATTGTGAAAAAGGTCAGTATAAATGAATTACTTATATTTTTAGCAAGTTTGTTAGATTGCTTACATGATATGCTTGAATACAAATGTTTTGATTTTAAGGCTTCAGCAGAAAAAATGTATTAGGACAGTTATGATTAATGTTAATTGTGAATCTTCAAATTTAAGAGAAGCACAGTAATGTTTCTCTGAAGTTGTGTTTCTTTCAACTTAGCAAGTCAGCACTTAATACTTTGCTTATTTTTTTATTTTCACAAGCATCCATTTGTTACTGTTACTTCCAATAAACCAATAAGAGAATTGATTGCAGAAGCTAAGGCTGAAGTTACAGAAGAAGTTGAAGATGGTAAAGATGAGGATGAAGAAGAGGAAACAGAGAATTCTCTGGTCAGTTTAAAATTTGCTTTTTTAAATATGCAATCTCCAGCTTACCATGGAGAATTCTGTTTCTGATGTACTAGCTGACTTTTGCAGAAGTCTTCTAAAAATAACATCGTAAACATACTCCAACCTTATATACGAAATAAGTAGTCAACAATTTCAAAATTAGCATGTTCCTAAACTCCTAGTAGGAAATAATAACTAATAAAGACTAACATCTTCATTTTTTTTACATATATATGTGATATTTTAAAAGTGGGATACTGATTTTTGTGTAAATGGTTTTAAGTCAAAATGACTAGATGTATGAGTGAACGTGCATTTTTATTCCATGAAGTGTTTAGAAGATTAAGAAAGGTATTTGACTATTGTGCTATAAACTAGGTTTTACAGTGTGGCTGTCAAAGAAAAAAAAGAAAAACAAAAGCCCCCCATATTTTACAAAGGCAGGATTGCATTTATGGATGTATTTCTGGAGATGCTTTAAGAATCTTATAATGCGAATACGGTTACTCAGAGGGGGAAGCCCCGATGTTCAGTGCTGGGGTGGCAGGTTGCAGAGTGCTCAGGCCGTGTTCTTCCTGACCTGAGTGCTGCAAGTGCCCGGCGTTGTCAGGAGCTGCCATTACCAGTCCTGGTGAAGGAGCCAAATGCAGGAGCAGGAGCAGATTCCTTCATTTCCTTTTCTCCCGTCACCACACTGCTCATATCCCCTGACCTTCACACCCCACTCCCAGTCCACCCCAGCAAATCTCCAAGTGTTCATTCCCACCAGCTTCATCCAGGACTTATTCTCTGTATCCTAAGGATCATCCACCACCTCCTTCCACTGATGAACTGCTGAGCCATCAATCCCTAGGAGGGCTGGAGTGAGGTCCACCTGTGACTCAGTTAAATAGCTCAAAAGCAGCATTTTAAGAACTGTGAGGTAGATACATTCACATTATTTGCTTGTGGTAGCTTTAAACACTCCTTGAAGATCAACACTAAGCTTCTAGAATAATTCTGTGAAGAAATATTTGAAATGCAATTTTGACTTAAAAGGAATTGTTTTATGTGTGCCTGGGAAACCCGTAAAGTAAGAAATGTGTGATCAAACCCATGCTTGCTGCAACAGCTAACCTGGGATGTTCCCAGTGGCAAATCAGGAGCCTGATCTGCAAATTACAGGGTTCTGACAGTAAATACAGACAGAGAGATATCACAATCACTTTGAAGAGTGAAAGGTCAATTATGGCTAAAATGGTACTTTATTATTATATTCTTTTGTATGTCTGTGTGTAATCTGATAACATTCATATTCTGACAGTACCAGTTTCTACAGTGAGGTAACTGTTTCTGTTGTAGTTCTGTATTGCCACTTAATCAGATCTGCTGGAAGTTTTCACCATTTTAATGGAGTTTTACAGTGATTAAAAAATAGATAAAAAAATTTCAGGCATTTTTAACAAAGAACACAAAGCAAAGTAGAAGAAGGTCTTAAAATTTCATTTTATCAGTGCTGCACTAACTGAAGCTACACAGTTTTTTTCTAGCCAAACTGGCACAAAGACGTGTCTTTCAAATCCAACTGTAGCTGGGACTACTGAGGAACTGAACTGATAAAAAAAAAACCAATGTGAAAAGAAAAAGACTCTTGAAGAGTGGCTGATGACCATAATGCCTTTCCCTCAATCATAGTGCATTTTATTCAATTATGACATATGGAAGAGGTTTGTAGTGAAACTTTCTGTTCAGGGCCTGTCTGCATTTTGTGAACTTGTTCTGTGGTAATGCCAAGTGAAGTACTCTGAGGTTATCAAATTCTTTGCCTGTAAATACAGTATTAATCTCTGTTCAGGTATTCTTCCATAGAACTGTGCTTTGATTAAGTTACAAAATGTTTAAGTGTTTCTCTTCCTTTAATTTTTTAGCAGTTACCTGCAGAGAAGCGTGCATCCTCCGACCTTAGCATTGCCAGCTCTGAAGAGGATAAACTTTCACAGAATGCCTCTGTCCTGGAATCTCTCTCTGAGAAAACAGCAAGTAATGCAATTGAGGACAAAACAACTGGGGACGAATCTGAGGACATTAAATTTAGGAAAACAGCTGATAAGATATGCGATCCTACCGTTAACGATATGGAAGTGCAAAACGGTTCTGTGCCAGCTGGTGAAGATGAGGAAGGCAAAATAAGGCCAGCAGAAAAGGACACAGAAAGCCTGGAAAAACCACATAAGGATACAGAACCCCAGAAAGGAGAGAAAGAACTTGACATCGTAACAAAACCAGAAATAAAGAATGAACCCAACCTAAAAATAGAGAAAGAAAATTCCACAGCAAATGAACAGACAGAAGATAATAAACTGAAAGTAGTACCCACAACTGAAAATAGTGTAGAAACTGAAGAAGGCATTTCTAAGGAAACTGGTGAAAAAGAAGAGAAGGAGAACAGAACAGATCTCTCAGGACTTAAGGAAGAAAAGGTCCCTGTAGAAAATATAGATACAGAGCAAAAGGAAAATAAAAATGAGGAGCAGAAAGAGGCAACAATAGACACCACTACAGAAGCTCTACCTAATGCTACAGTCGAAGTGTCTGATGAAGAAAAAGAACTAATAAAGCATGGAATTGACAACGTTAAGGAGATTGGTGGTATTGCTGAAACACCGATCAGTGATGGGGATAAAATACCTGAGCTGGAGGATAAACCAGTGGAAAGTCAGGCTAAGCAGGTCCATGAGATAATCAGCTCTGAAGAAACTCTATCAGAAAGCCAAGATAAAGTGATCAAAGTAGACAAGAAACTGGCAGAAAGTGAAAATGAGGATATTAGTAATATAAGCAACACGGAGGAAACAAAGATCAAAGACTCTGGAAAAGACGTCGTAGACCAGAAGGCAATACAGAGCAAACCTGAGGATATTTCTAATAAAGTGGTGGATAACCTGACTGATATGGACCAAAATTCAGGAGACTGCAGACCTGAGAGTATCCAGGAAGACAACATTCAGACAGACAAAGAACGTTTGGAAGTTACTTCTGATGAAGTAATGAAGGATAAGCTTCAAAATACTGTCAATGAACAAGCTGATGACTCTGAAGTCACTGCAGTCCCCAGTATTAGTATTAGCACTGAAGAAAATGAGAAAGTCAAAACGGATAATCAAGGCAATACTGAAACTTCCCAGCAGGTAGAGTCGGAGAATGTGAAGGAAAATGATGCCGATTCAGGCACAGGTTCTACAGCTGATAACAGCAGCATCGATTTGAACTTATCAATTTCTAGTTTCCTTAGTAAGAACAAAGAGACAGGATCAATATCTTTGCAGGTAAGTGTAAGCAATCATATGTTTTTTTATATAAATTCTCATGTGAGTGTGACCCTAAAATTACCTCCAAGTTTGATTTTTGCAACGAAGCGTTGAGTGAGCAACTAGCGTGGCACATAAATACAAAACTAACTTTGTAGAAACCAAAGTATTCTAAATTGCACGGTATGACAATATCTGGATTTTGGCATTTATGCTAATTATTTTCTTAAATTATTGCATAATTGTATTTTAAAACTGTTGACTAGCATATAACAGGAAAAGGAAATGTGAAGAATTGTGAATGGTTGTAGTTCAGAGCTGATATTCAAGAAGACGAGTTCAATACCTTACTCAACACAGAATCCCTGTTTAACGGGAAAAATCTCCTGTGACATCTAATCTTATATTGAATTCCTGTCGCTTCCATCATCTGTCTCTCTGTTTAGATTTGGGAGATCCAAGGCAGATATTCTGTTGGGTTTGTTTATTCTAAACACTGCTGCTGTGGTTGTGCTGTGTCAATGCAGCAATGCTGGTATGAATGAGCTTATTCAGAGGAATCACATTCCAGGCTATGAACTTTATATTTATATTTGTATACTTATATAATTATAGCCATACTAAGGTAGTAACTGTGTAACATGGGTTTGAATGGAAGAAAAACAAACCTAGAAAACCAACCAAACAAAAACCCCATAGCTTGGCATAGCTGTGCTAAACATGATTTCAGGGTGTTTGCAGTAGCCCTGACACAGTGGAGATGCAGTTTCGGCCGGGGTGTCTCTTCTCTTATAATGAAACAACAGCAGCTTTGAGAATTGAGATTTTTTTCAGTTGTCAGCGATCTCATCACATGATTTTTGACTGATATATATGAATAAAAAAATTAGACTAGCTCATTTGTTTCCAAAGCAGAAGTAAGTAGGTGAGTAAATTATTTTCTGTTTTGGAACTGTTTTTCAGAATTAAATGTCTTTTTTTGGTGACTGGGAAGATCATGATCAAAAGCAAACAGGAACTGTAGCTGTCTTCAGCTCGTGAAAATAAAACTCCATCAGTTTTGTTCAGAGTTTATCTAGATTAATTTTTTTCTTCTGGCAATTTGGATAATCAATAATTACAGTTTTCCTTTGCTGATGAAAGAAAATTTCAGTTAATAGAATTTTTCAAGTTCTCACTTGATTAGTGAGATACCTGATAAGTGAGAACTCCAGATTACTATATAGTAGGCATTCACAGAAATATTTGATCTAATTTAATATTAAGAAAAAGGAGGAAAAAGAATGTAATTTAAATAAGTACAGAATAACTTAAAAATGCTTTATTTAGGAAACTAGAAGACAGAAGAAAACGTTAAAGAAAACTCGGAAGTTTGTCGTTGATGGAGTAGAAGTGAGTGTAACCACATCAAAAATAGTTACTGAAAATGACTCGAAAAGTGAAGAAATGCGATTCCTAAGGTAAGTGTTTGTGTAAGTAAAATTTTCAAGAGGTTGGCAGTTAATTTTTTTTCTCTTTGAATAAAAAAAGGCAGCTAGTGATCTTATTCCAGAAATACTTAGGGATTAATTTACGGTATTTTTTTAGTAGAAAGGAATGTAAAGTGTTTCTTCATGGGACAGTCAATTCAAAACTAGTTTTACTGGACCTAAATTGTAGATGCTCCTTTTTGTCTTTTGTAATTTTCCTCTTCTTTTGCTTTCCCAGCAATATTAAGTGATTCTTTTTCCTTATTAGACGTCAAGAGCTAAGAGAACTAAGACTTCTTCAGAAAGAGGAGCAGAGAGCCCAGCAGCAACTCAGTAATAAGCTTTTGCAACAGCGAGAACAGATGTTCAGACGTTTTGAACAGGAAATGACAGTGAGTTTCTGGATTTTGCTGCTCTTAAAATACAACATCTTGATGGAGTAGGCAGAATACTGCTAGCAGCAATCAGGTGTTTCTTTTTATGATGGCTGTAGCTTAGCCTTCATTGTTGTTAATAAAAAGCAGTATTTTGCATCGTGAGGTGCCCAGCTTGTATGCTGGAACTTGCCTGCCAGAACAGTTCATCAGGGCCATGCCCTGCTGTGGTACAGCACTGCATTGAACAGAACTTAGTTTCCCAAAAAAAGCTGCCAAATTATTTTCACAGAGTAAAAAGCGACAGTACGATCAAGAAATCGAAAACCTAGAGAAGCAGCAGAAACAGACGATAGAGCGGCTGGAACAGGAGCACACGAACCGCTTACGGGATGAGGCAAAACGCATCAAAGCAGAACAGGAGAAGGAATTGTCCAAATTCCAGAACGTGCTGAAAAACAAGAAAAAAGAGGTAAGAGACGATGACAATATAGAAAATAAGGAGTATGGGCATAGTAAACAGTTTTGAGATTAGGTCTCTCAGAAACCTTGTCAACTGACCTGTGGAAGTGTTACTAGCAGTCAATATTGTTTCTTGTTTTACTGCCTCAAGTGAAATATAAACAGCTAACAGGAAGATTGAGGTATTGACTTAATCTAGAAAGCATCACCAAGTTAGTAGACTTTATTTTTCACAGAATATTTAATAAAATACTTTCTCTCATATTAAATCAAGAAAAAGTATTTTCTTAAAGACTGTGAAAAATGTTTGAGCTTTCTACTTTAAACAAATCCAGCTATGGGTACTTAGTAAATACTTATCAGATTAGAATTTTGAAGACAATAATACAGTCTTGATTATTACTGAGAACCACTTTAATTTCAGATATGTTTCTTTTTTGTTAATTTGTTAGATTTTCATTGAGCGTATGCTGTTATTGTTTAGAATTTCTTTATATGAAGTGAGAGCAGTAACATGGATTTGGCTTTTTAGCTCCAAAAAGAAAGCTAGGAGAGAGAAGTGTGGACAACCTAAAATCTTCTACAGTTAATCTCATACATGTCATACACTTAAGGCAAAATGAACGACAACTGACAATGACACCTTGTGCTATTAATTTGCTTGCATTAGAGTAAAAGAAGGTGATGTGGTTCCATGTGGATTTTGCATCTTAAAAGCTGTTCTATTTCATTTTTGGATCAGTTGTGTAGTGCCCATTTGTATATGAATAGCTCTAGTGTTTCCTCTAATAGTTACTAGACACAGATTTCTTTAGAAAGCTGTAGTGTCCATGCTTTTGCATAGAATGATCCTGTTGCACAAAACTGCATTAAAGAAATAAGTTATATTCAGTTTGAACCGTATGCTCAAATGTAAATAACAATTTTTCTTCTTTTGCGGTACCTCTTGCATTTTTGAGTCTCTCTCTATTTACTGGTGATTGGGTCTTACATGGGAAAGCGGGGAGAATTTTACTTATTGCTCTGAGCTAAAAACAGTTCTTTCATGGAAACAGGAGTAGCATGTGGTGATTTGGACTCTGTTTTCTTATGATGCTTCCACTATTAAACAAACAGGCATTTGTTTCTGGGTGCATAGTTTTGTGTTTAAAGCTTAAAAAGGCGATGTACAGTTTGAAGGAAAATGCAGCTGGTGCTCTAAAACTATCCATGCTACACTGGAGTATGCAATGCTACATTTTTATAAGTCTCAAAACCAAATAAAACACATTAGCAAATTAACAGATTAATAGTCAGTTGATTTAGCCAGGTTATATTTAGAATCTTTCAGCTAATCTAGTCTAATTCACCTTGAACTGAAACACGTTCCATCCCAGCATACTGTCACGAATAGTTTCTTGAAAATATACTTATTGGTGGGTTTTGCGTTAAATTCTTTAGAACCAAACACTTGCAACCAAATAATACTTTGTTTGCTTGTGCTATTATTTTAAAGACATAACCTGTGTAGATGTCATTTATGGCTGGAGACACTAATAATGGCATCTTGTAAATTTAAGTTATAGACAGTGTCAGAAATAGCTGGTTTTCAGTGGAAGTTTTTTAAACTTCCAACTGTTTTTCACAGTTTTACTATGAGGTGAACATACTCTGTAGTCCTTTTGCCATAATGCTTCAAGAAAATACCACTTTTGCAGGTGGTGGTTTTCTTAACTGTTGACTCTTCTGGCTGCTGCATGGAAACACAAGCGAGAGATTCCATTTCTGAGAGCACTGGGCAGCATTTGCATGCAAAAAGCGGCTGGCACATCCCTCCTTTCTGCACTGCTGGCATGCATAAAGCACCTACTGTTCCTTCTCTTTTCATTAAGCTCTTTTCACTAAACTAACATCCCTGCCACTGAAGTAATGCATGCTTCCCAGTACCTCTAGTGCTTGACCTGCATGTCCTGTGTTCACAGTAATGCTTGCTGTGGAGAAAAAGTGTTCTTTTTGCCACCTTCTGCATGCTTATATACACTGTAGGTTTTATGTGAAGTGGAGAAAGCACCAAAAGAGCTGAGAAAAGAGCTCATGAAACGCAAGAAAGAGGAGCTTGCACAAAGCCAGCATGCTCAGGTAACAATGGCAGCTTCAAGCTACTAAAATACAAAAGGCAGCAGTATTCACACAGCTTGATGATTTCACTTCTTGTTGTTGTTGAGTGAATATGGAACTTAACTCAAACTAACCCTACACTGCTCTCTTCCTTCAAGTACTCCCATATCACATCTCATAGACTAAACTGGGTAGACATGTAGGAGCAGCGGTTCCCAGGTTTGTACTGTCAAGTGGAATGTTTTGTGTGCTGTACTGAAAAAGAATGGTGATTTTCTACAGCAGGTTTATTTACAGTGCTTTTACGAGTGGTAAGTACCCCACAGGTCCTTTGGATTTTGAAGGTTATAGTCAGAAGTAAGTTTTGAACAACACAAGTGCAGGAGAGGAAAATATATATAATATGTAAGCACGAGGCATCTTGTTTATAGAAGCAGAACAGATTAGGTAAAATGTTATTTAAATGTCAAAGTGTAGGTGTACAGAAAGTTTGCAAGACATCTACAATTTCATGCCTTCAGACTTGCTGCTTTTTTATGACCCAGCTAAAAAGAGGGCAAATATTTTAGAAAAATATTGGCTTTTTGTCGTCCGCAGCTTGTACAGAGTGAGTTTCAACCACAGCAGAGCAGGTTTGGATTGAGTAACTTTAAGATTAACTGTTTATTTGAGTGACCTAGTGGAAAATAATCGCAACTTTATTTGATTATGTGTTTAAGAGGGGATTTCCCAAGATAGAATGTAATTGAATTGCAGTGCTCTCCCTATGCCAGAGATACCTGTCTAAACTTTTTAAAGAAACAAAACCCTAGTTTTTCATAGTGTTTGTAGCAACTTGGTTTATTTACTTTGCTGCTTTCTCTTTGTTGAAGAGAGGTGAAAGAGAAAATTTTAAATGTGAAATATCCTTACTTGGAATGATAAGTACTAGACAAGGTGCAGATGTTTTATTTTAGAATATTGTCATATCTACTTCTGTGTTGAGCCTTGACATTTTAAATGCTTATTACTAACACACAGCAGATATAATTTCTTCCTTTTTTTAAGAATAAAAATATATTTCATTATATCATGACATAGGAAGTACATTGTGTCCCACAGGGCGTTGCTCAGGTTATGATTCAGTCTTTTCAGTTGTCTTCGTGTACGCTTTTCAACGCACAAATGCAGGATGTAAGTCTTAAAATGCAAAACAACATAAGTTTTGTTTTCCTAATTTTCCAGACGTGTGTTTTCTCCTCTCTTTCTGATCATATGTGCTGATCAATGTCACTACTGTCTCCAAACTGATTAGCACAAATTTGTAATGATGACAACTATTCGTTGTCAAAAGGTCAAAATTACGCTAGTTGTTTAGTCTGGGCAGAACACTGAGATTTCACATATGCAATATGATACTGTTCTCTAGTGCTTATTATTTGTTCAGCACATGTGAGACACATTGTGTGACTTGTATGCTGTGTGTGCAGTGAAACTATGTATTTTAAAGATATCTGAGTTTATTTTAAGATACTTATTGGGCAAAACCAAATGGTAGCTTGAAAAAGGTGAGCTGTCTTGCTCTGTCTGCCTTTGAAACAACCTACATGTTCTTTGGTAAACTCGGTGACCTTTATTTTGTGTGATACTTGAGTAGATGTGGGAAGGCCAGAGTGTTTCCTGAGATTGCCTGGTTTATCTTATAGTGCTGGCAGGTATAAAAGTTCTTAAGATTTAGAGAGAGGAGCAGTGATATTTAAATGATAGTGTAAAGCTCAAGCCTAATCATTTTTTGACCACGACTACACCAGAACAGCTTTCCCCTACTCCCTTCAAATCAAAAAACTCCCAGGAAATTAAACGTTGTGTTAATTATGTATCTACACCCTCAGAATAATAAACTCGTAGTCTTCTTATCCTTTTCATCTAGAAAGGGAAACAACAGTATTTTTCATCATTTCATATATTTGATTAGTATGTCTCACTTAATTTACAGACATCACCTTCCAGTTCTTTTTGTACCCTCAGGTCTGTCACTGGCAACTTACTTCACCTCTGGTTTTGTGTTACCTTTCTCAGTGTAACTCTTCTGTCCACTGAGAGAGATGAAAACCTCATCTATTAATAACTTTCCGTGAAGATGAAAACCAGGATTCTTCTGGTCATGATAAAAAGTGCTTTAAATGAACATTTAATTCCACCTGACAACTCTTATTAGCAAGTACCATAGGTTCGGAAAAAAAATAAGAATAGCTCAGGAACCCTTCCACTGATCAGCTGCAGCCCAGTTTTCCCAGCTCCCTTCCAAGATTAAGACCATCTTTAGTGTTGCTTTGTTGTGTAGAGCAGCAGGTGCTTCAGCACCTCCCCTTGGATCTGACAGGACCCTGAGTTGTCCTTTCTTTTGACCTTTGATATTGTGTGATAGAAGCATCTGATTTAATTTCTCGTTCTTACGGGGGGAGGGTGTGCATGCTCACTTGCTCATGGCTGTGGCTTTTAATAGTTGGAAGAAGAAAGGCAACAGTAAGGTTGCTTGGGGAGGGGCATGGGAGGGGGATTCCTTCTGCTGCCTGCTTTTCATGATGGGATGCAATCTGGATAATGGGAAGATGCAGGTGATATGGGGACTGTGTCAGGCAGGTGGTAAATCACTTTGCAAAGAGCCAGCTCAGCTCAGGTGTGACAGAGTGACAGTCCTGCAGAACCATGGAGTGTCTGCACAGTGGACCTACAGAACTCTCAGCCTCAATACCTCTACCTTCAGGACAAGATAAACCACACAAATCTGAAACCCATCTGTGTAAATAAATAGGCTTTAACTAATCACCCAAAACAAAATAACCATACATACCTTTATTTTCTTACCTACATGAATAATTAACTCTCGATAGAATGACATCAGCTTTATACTGAGCACTTGTCTTTGCTAGCTCTGAACCTGCAACGTGTTCTGAGGAGAGACAAGAGATGGAATGAATTGCAGATTGCTGGCTAGTTTGTTGCCTTTGGTCTTACTTCTGAAGGTATTATTTAAATATTAAATATGCTCTTACCTACTCTGTAAATAGTGAATACGAAAGATGGATAATTTGATAGTCAAGGCATGCTAGCTCAAAATTTCATAGATGCGTTTGTTTTCATATATAGCTAATGCTGAGAGAACTGGGAGTTTCATTAAAATGTAATGTGGTTAGAAGAACAAAATTTAATTTACTTTTATTGGTTTTTACCAGGAGCAGGAGTTTGTGCAGAAGCAGCAACAAGAACTGGATGCATCTCTGAAGAAAATTATTCAGCAGCAGAAGACGGAACTGGCCACTATTGAACGAGATTGCCTCAACAACAAACAGCAGCTCATGAGAGGTATCCAACATCAGACTCTCTTTAAAAACAGGCCCTTGTGTTTTAATAAAACAATATTCTGTCTTCACTCTAAGAAGACCTTCATGACTAATTTACAATGGTAATAAAAGCATTTTCTGTGGAATAGCATTGTTTTCAAAATGCACTTGTAGGCTACTTCTAAACATACACCAGCAGGTAGATTGGGAAGCAGTGTGTGGCAGCAAACTGAACTTTCTGAACCAGCTTCCTCTTTTTTCCAGCTCGTGAAGCTGCAATCTGGGAACTGGAGGAGCGGCATCTGCAAGAGAAACACCAGCTCCTCAAACAGCAGCTCAAAGATCAGTACTTCATGCAGAGACACCAACTGCTTAAGAGGCACGAAAAAGTTAGTGTTGATTTTGACATATCCTGTTGTGTATTATAATGTCCAGTTTTTTTATCAGTAGTCTTATGATCTCTTCTGGTAGTTTTTTGTTTGCACAGACTAGACCCACACAAGTATTTTGAAGCTGTTGAAACTAAAATATCTTAATCATCATACTCAAATACCTTAGTAGTATGTAGAAGTATCACTAGTAATATTCTTCTCTTTTGATTCTTAAAGAAACCCCAACCAATCACAACATCAACCTGTTTCTACTAAAAATACTGAATTCTGCTCAGATACCAAATCAATTTTGACTTGTGTTTAAATAAATCTGCTCAGAAGTTCCTGGAATTAAATGAGTGGAATAAACTGGATTAGCTATTGGGCAAGTAGCTGACAACTGTCTCTTTATAGCTAAATCCTGTAAAATCCTTATTTGTTTTTTTATAGAATACTCTAAAGAAAATAGTTCCGGTTTTGAAACTGTAAACTAATAGGGAGGTGTTAGAGGATCTCCTTGGTGATCAGAACATGAACAGCCTCCACTGAAGGCTTATTCCTGTCCACTCTGGTTCATCCCATATTGGCTGTTGTTTTCACAGCTTTTGCAGCAAACTGCCCCTTCACAGCTGCAGCCCAGGAGCTCAGTTGCACAGAAGTTTCTCCCTTTGAACAACAGACTTTTTAAAAGGCAGTTCAGGAGTTGAGCAACCACTGGTAAAATATATGTGTATTCACATTAGTTGAAGAATCTCATCAGGGCTGGGCATGATCCAGAGTGCTCTGGAAGAAGCCCCTCCTGCCCATTGGTGCTGCTGAGGCTGGGACTGGTTTCTGTTGCTGTCTCACACCAGGTGCTTACTGAGGAAATGAGATACAGATAGTATAACATTGATGATTACTCTGTAACATTTCCATGTGGTTACCATTTCAGGAAACGGAACAAATGCAGAGATATAATCAACGCCTTATTGAGGAGTTAAAGAACAAGCAAACTCAGGAAAGAGCCAGACTGCCTAAAATCCAGCGAAGTGAAGCAAAGACTCGCATGGCAATGTTTAAGAAAAGTTTAAGAATCAATTCCTTAGCCTCTCCAGACCAAGATCGTGAAAAAATTAAGCAGGTAATAATTAAATTAATATTTTGTTTGTATAGTGTAAATGCCAAATATGAGAATGGGATGGAGTGCACTCTCACAGGTTCACAGATGGTACCAATCTGAGTTGATGCACTGGATGAGGTCAGAGGAAATCATCCTTTCCTGCAGCACTGGTGAGACTCTTCTGGGGCACTGAGTCCAATCCTGGGCTTCCCAAAACAACACAGACATGAATTTATTGGAGCAAGTCCTGCAAAGGGCCTTGAAGCTGACCCAGGGACTCGTGGGTCTTGTTACATGAGGAGCCACCTGGAATACCTGGGATGCCTCAGCCTGGAGGAGGGTCTTATCCATGTGCATAAGTACCCAAAGAGGGTGGAGCATGACTTCCCAGGGTGCCCAGTGACAGTGTGAGAGGCAGCAGGCACAACTGAAATACAGAAAATCCAACTTAAACATAAGAAAACACTTCTTTAGTGTGTGGATGGTCAGACAGCTTGCCCAGAGAGGTTGCAGACATGCCCAGAACCCAACTGGATACGGGCTTGTGCAGCTTGTTCCTGTCAACCTTGCTTTGAGTGGGGAGGTTGATCTTTGCAGGTCTCTTCCAACCTCAGCCGTTGTGTGATTCTGTGAAATATTTTTAAGGATGCTTGATTTTTGTGAATTTATGAACTAAAACTGTAGGTATTCACTCATTCTTTAAAAGGGATTGCTGTGAAGATGTTGAGAGGTTTGCTTTCTAGAGATGCACCAAAGTCCCGAGTCATGGTTTCATATGGTGAGCATTGGAAGGATGAAAAATCTGGAAAATAAGATGTCCTGTAGCTGTATAACACCAACCTCGACCAACGCCTGCAGCAGCACTGCTGTGTCACTTACCTTCAGAGGGAGATAATTGCAGGAGTCTGGTAGTGAAATGTGCTGTGCTTTAAGGAAAAATCAGAGTGCAAACAGAGAAATGTAATTAAAACTGTGAGGGCACTCCCTTTGTAAAGATTTTAAAAAAGAAAGAGTAGAGAAAATTATTGCTTAAATCTTCTGAAACCATTCTTCTCAGTACGTGTTCCTTCTGTTACATGCAGTTCTTTGGCTCATGTAAACTGTTGTATTCAGAGGCACAATATAAATAATCTTTTTATTTTCAATTTTAGTTTGCTGTTCAAGAAGAAAAGAGGCAGAAGAACGAGAGACTGGCTCAGCATCAGAAACACGAAAACCAAATGCGGGACCTTCAGTTGCAGTGTGAAGCAAACATCAGGGAACTGCATCAGTTACAGGTTAAAAATAGATGATGTTAAGTGACCATTCAGTGGGAAGACTCGGGTTAATAACGGATGCAGGCAAAGCAGAAACATCTTTTCCTTCATTTTTACTGATCAGCGTAGAGTTTCAACTTTGCTTTCGAAGGCCTGCAGCACACTGCTTAACCACATTCATATGCTTCCATCAGTTAATGAGAAATCATTTTAAATGCAAGAAGAGCATGAACCAGAAACAGATGATGACTTCTGGAATATCTGTCAAGTTCCCAGGGCTATTTTCTGTAGGCAACATTTCCTGTAACCTGCTTTTACTGAAATGTAATTAATCAGAACAGAGGTAGGCAGCACCTGGCATTACCAGCGAGATGTTTGCAGCAATACATGAATGAGGAGATTTTTACAAAGTGCTGCCACTTGTACATGAGCTTCTGGAAGGTACTTAGAAGGACTTCTCTTCTTGCCGTAAGGAACTTTGTTCTGTCCCTTTTGGTATGCATTTAGTAAAAGTTTCTGCTGTATACCAGAGGCCAGATCTCCTTTTCCATTAAATCAGCTTTTCCCTATTTCAGGGACACGAGGAAGTTTTAAAGCATTAATGATCACCTGCTGATAACCTTTGCTTAGAGAAGTCGTGCAACAACCAATGAAGCTCGTTCACTCAGTTCACTTTCTTACATGCTGCAGAAACAGTCCCTGGCTGTGCCACTAATATGCCTCAGTAAATCCCCAAGTACCGTGGGAGTCTTGTGAGAGTTTCAGCTCAAGAAAATTGAGCAGATTAGGGCTGCTCTGAGCTTCACAAGGAAAACTGGCCCCTTGCTGCACTTGGGTCCAGCCAAGTGCTTGTCATTTCTGTTGCTGTGGTTCTGTGCTCTGCATCAGAGCCATTTGGGACTGGGACTCTAGAAATACAACCACTGCCAACTGCTCTTAAAAAAAAGCAAAGATTTGATGTAACCAAATACTTAATTTTTTTCTTGCTATGCTTCAGAAGTCCTCTGAAAGGGAGGCAGTTGCCTGGGTACCTTACTGAGAGAAATGTGGAGTTGAGGTGTGATTTGATTATCCTTTTCCTAGGCTACTTTTGCAATCACATTTCTCCCCTCTCTAAACCCTGTTTGTTCATCTCAGCTCTTGGCACCAAGAGTTGAAATATTTCCAAAAAACAGCTTTGTCTTTAATGTAATTGATTTTAATAAATTGTAGAGACTGTCTTTAGAAAGCAAAGCAGAAATGCTGTCTGACCTTGAAAAGCATTATTAGGCAGTGAAACACAGTTTTGAGTAACACTCAGCTTCTGCCTTAATGGCACTCAGCAGTGTTTGGATTTGAGTTTCTTATCTCAATTGGCTCCGATGGAAAGATCAGCTTTTGAAAATGCAGCCTCGTAACATACTTTTATCTTGTAATTATTCACGTCACTATTTACACAGAATAAGCTAATTAGAAAGAATTAGGACAACATATGTCACTGTACAAATGTTGAGTTGCCTAATCTGAATTAGTTTTACATAAGGATTATCTGTATCTTCTTTTAAGAATGAAAAATGCCATCTACTGGTTGAACATGAGACTCAGAAACTAAAAGAACTGGATGAAGAGCACAGCCAAGAACTGAAGGAATGGAGAGAGAAATTGAGACCGAGAAAAAAGGTAAATTGGAGCAGTTCTGGAATCGGGAAATAATCAAGGGCTTGATCAAGCAAATATAGAGAGTACAAAAGCATTGCAGAGGAGAATCAAGCTGCTATACAAAGCTGTTATAATTCACTGAATAATAAAAGATGTTAAAAAATGCAAACCTGAGCAAAAGGCAGGTGCAACAAAACAGTCTTTGTGTTACCAGCCTCTTGCAGGACTCCCTCCTGCAGCATGTGTGTGTGTGTGTGTTTGCATGGAAAACTTAGCTGGACATGCATTCCTAAACCCAGATTTCTTTCAGAAGCCAGTGGGTTACTCCAAAAATTGAATGCTTAAGAGCAATAGAGGAGGTTGGTTTGGGCGTTTATATTTTATTTTAAATGGAAAATGCTAGATTTTCACACAGTTCAGGGAATGTCCTACAGACAGATGATGTTCTTGGCTTGCGGTGTCTTACAATTTCATGTTTGCTGAGTGACTTTTCTTGATGATGTTTATGAAGTTACA